GAGAGAGAGAGATAGAGAGAGATAAACAGGGAATTCCTCGTCCCTAGCACGCCATTGTGCCCCTTCTCGTCAACGAAGAAGCGCGAAAACCGTCCCTAATCTCCGATGGTATCTCTCCTTAGGCCTTTGAGCTTTTAAGCTTTCGCTAAACTTCGATGCCCGCGCCACGATTTTACACCGTTCGGCTTTTCCGCGAAAATTAATCTGGGTTAATAGAAATTCTCCCTCCCTTTTTATTTACCTTGGCCGAATTGCGAATCTCTTCAGAGGATTGGATTCGAATAAATATGAATTTTAAAATCATATTCGAGATTATTCGTATTTATATCCGTCTAAATATTTTATGTATATAATAAATGATTGTGATTATAGTAACAGAATGAAAAGAGAGATACGTATAATCATACGTTTTCGTTAAAAAATAATAAACTTACGATATTTGTGTTTTCTGATGGAAGAGCACTTGTGAGTTTGTATATATGTTGAAAGGATTTCTTATCTGAATGGCTTATATCTGTTTTACTTGGCAACAGTGATGGGAAAAATTTAATAGTTTAGAAGTTACGAGTAAAGTTACTTGGATAATTTATCGTTCGTAATAATAATCGGAAATAATTGCAACATCAGGGGATCAATTATAATAATTACGTTATAAATGTTATATTTCGAACAATTTAATAAGTAATTACTTGAAGTAACTCTATTCGAAATTTTTAACTATTTTACTTTTTCAGCAGGGGTTAATGTCCAACTCTTTTTGACATAACACAGTCTCTTCTCCTCGAAACGTATTAGATATTTATAGAAATTAGAATCTAGATGAATTTCGAGAAAGTAAAAGTCGATGAGACATCTGGCGGCAATCATTGGAACCATTCGGATGCATGTACATTAAGAATTAGGTTAAGCTTTTTCCCCCTGGCTTCTTCCAGTCAAAGAAGTTGGTCAATAATATTTTAACCGATTGCAATTGCAATTCTTTTTCCAGGGAGCCAGGCGGAGCATCAACAATCGTTGAGCGCCAACAACGAAGTGGCGAAGAGATCCGCCGGAGAGGATAAAAGCGAAGATGTCATCGAAGGCCCCATCAGGGAAGTTCTTGCACAAAGCGGAAGCACCGCGAATTTGCCGTGCAAAATTACCGAACCAGGCGCTGGAACCGTAAATGTCGTTACGTAATACAAGTTAGCTCGAAGGCGATTGACCCAGAAAAGTATTTCCAAGATACGCGCCTCGCCCTGCCGTCGTGTAATTCATGCAGAGTCGAAATTAGTTTCATACCGATACACGACACACTGCCACGGAGCGGAGCACTGCTTAACATCCGCCAAATACTTGCCCTTACGTTCAATAACGCGCTCCTGAACCGATTCATCTTTGCTTTTTCGCTCTCGTCTCGTCAATTTCGCGAAAAATATCGATTTTTCTTTCAACAACGTATGTTGTTGTTGTGCAAGCATATAATAACCTTTCTCTCGTATCGTAAATACGTAAAATCTTCTTGGCAATATTTACAATACGCGAGGAATGGTTACTCTTCAGCAGAATTTTGTCGATCTTTTTAAACTATTCGCTGCTTTCGAATCAATTACTTGACAGTGGAAAAATTTCGAGCCTGGAGGAAATATCCTCCAAAAAATTTCGAAGAGTCCAGCGTGAGTCCTTTGGTATCGTTCTCGAGGGGAGAGCACGTCCAGGAAGTACAGTCGCGATATCTTCGAAAGCGGTTGATTGATAAGTTGTTTTCTTCGGCAATGGTCAATCAACGAGCTTTTGGAAAAACACGAGGAAAGCTTTTCATCCCCGAGTAGAGATCACGGATGGTTCATCAAAAACGATTCACTAAAAATCACCAACGGGATTACTCGCGAAGAAGTGTCTACCCTTCGATCTACTATCACGACTTCCACGATCGACGTTGGCAAAAAAGAAAGAGAGAGAGAGAGAGAGAGAGAGAAAAGGAATACATCGAGAAGAATGTTGATAGCGTTCGTCCGTATTATATTTTTTTAATTCGAACAAACTCGAGACTTTTAATCGAATACATTTTACGTCTCGCCGCTTTCTCCTCTCCACGTCTTCCTCCACCACTTTCTTTCTCCGCTTTATATTGGCGTTCCATTAAATATCTTCTTTTCCACCGTATTCACGGCCGTTCAATTTTCATTTCCCGAGCACCGAGTTGAGTGATATTCATTTAATTTCCGCTCGCCAGACGGCATACACAAAGTAAATCGAGGGAAAGAGGGATTTCATGACTGAATAATACCACGAACCGCTCAACTTTAAAAGCCGTAGATATCGTTCCCTTATACACATCGCTCTCTGTGATGTCTCGATTCGTCAAGAATCGAACGTATCCGATTCTTTTGTATAATCTCGAAAGTTAGGAGGAAGAAGGAGGATGAAACAGGTTCACATTTTGTGTTTCGAAAGTAAACCGTTAAACGGAGAAGAGAGATGGAATAAATATCAAACATTAAAAAAGAGGCGGGGGGGGGAAGAAGAAAAAGAAGAAAGATAGAACTTTTCGTCTAATGTTGTTCAATGGATTACACGGGAATGGGAGAGGGGCGGAATCGTCTCTAAGCTGATTTTGCGCGAAGTTTCCAATCTATTTTCAAACTTGCTTGCTTTTGTGCCGTGAATTTAATTTCTTTGCAAGCTTTGCAAGCTGTAATCGAATCACGGTTAAACAGGCGAAGAATCCTCCTCAGTTGTATTTCTAATTGATTCGAAGAAAACTCCGTGACTCGTTTAATCGATTTCTGTTTCGTTATACTATATATTTCATCCGGTAACGGAATTTGGACGCGATTTAGAGAGTGAAAGAGACGTTCTAAAAGTGAAAGAGATGTTCAAGAAAGGTCTCTCGTCGGTGATTCGAGAGAAAAGTTAAAAAAAAAAAGGTTTCCAAGGTTTCTTGAATATAAGATAAAATCCTAGGGTGCGATAAAATTCCAATTGCGCCTGTACAAAAAGAACGTTCGTTTATCAACTTCTTCGCGTGGAAGAGGAAGATTAATAAGTACAGTTACAGAGGAGAAATCCATTTATATTGGGAAAAGATTTTTCGACCGTACTCGCGTTTTCCAATCATTTGTTCGCGCAAAATGATTTCCACGGATCGGCAAATTTTTCGACGCCGATAATTCAACTAGTAATACCGTTAAATTTAATTATTTCGCCACGACTGAAATTCGCAGAAACGTCGCGGCAATTCGTGCTGGAAAACATTATTGCCACCTCGATAACAAATAGCTCGGCCACAGCTCCCGCTAATTTTCTTTCTACCTCCCTGAACTTTTAGACAAATTGCTCGTCCTTCCCTTTCTGCCCACCGCGATCCATTCTCTCCCCTCCTCCCCTTCCTACCCTTATATTTCTCACTCCCTTCCTCCCCCTCTTTAGACTGCTCGTGAAAATTCTTTTAATCGATGAAACAGAGTCGAGTATGAAGAAATCAGAAGATCACCTCTGCGTTCACCTGCTCTTTTCCAATTTTATACACAAAGTATTTATATATTCGTGCATGTGCTTTGAAGGGGTTGGAACCAATTGTCTGAAACAAAAAAGCAGAAAGGTTGGCTAATGATAAAATTATTACAATTAAAATAATTTGCTCGTAACGCAAAGTCTTAATCAATCTTTACGTTCGATTACGTTTTTTTTTTTTTTTGGTTTTTGGTAGAATCGATCGGATGTTTTAAAAATTTTCTATCGATCCACCACGAGCCGCCCTGTCACATTTTGATTCTCGGCAAGAGGTACGTCTGGAATCTCGCGCGTCAGACAAGATTAGGCGACCCCCTCGATTGATTCGCATATTTCGAATCTCATATTTTTCCCCTGCCAGCCACGTTCCTTCCACCTCTCCTTCTTATTTCCTCGCGTTTCTTTTCTTTCTTCTTTTTTTCTCTCCTCTCCTTCGATCGCGTTTCCCTCGCCTTCCTTCGAACTCCTGGAGCAGGGAATATTTCAGAATATTTTACGAGGCTTCTCCGTTAAACCGATACCGTAGCAGGTGCTCCGTTCAAGTTTTCCAGAGGAAGGAGAAAAGAAGAAAAAAAAAAGAAGAAAGGAAGGGAAAAAAGAAAGAAGGGGAGGAAAAAAGAAAAGGGGCGAGGGAATGACAGAAAATCTAGGTTGTGTACACGAAGCGTGTGGAGAAGTCTCCCTCGATACTTTCGTGGCGACGAAAGCCAGATGTCGAAATCGAATTCCACTCGACATCGTGGAAACGAACGATTTTCTTATAGAACAGATCAGATCGAACCGGATTTTCGGCCGAGTTTTTTTTTTTTCTTTTACCAGAGTACGAATATGCCCATGCAATGGGGGTGTGATCTTAGGGTGTTCTCTCTAAAAAACGACGTGGAAACATTTTATGAATAGGGAGAATGAGAAGAGAATATCGATGCGTGGTTGGCGATTTCTTTTATTGAAAAGTTAGAGGGAAAACAAATAACGAAGAAGAAGAAGAAGAAGAATCGTCGATTTTATCCAGAACAATCTTTTTCTTTAATTCGCAAATTTATAATATAAAAAACGATCGTTGTTATTATTTTTTTTTTCTTTTTACAATTTCTCGAATTAAATCTTCAACACGTAATTCTCCCTTATTCGATTCTCTTATTAATTCTTTGTAGAAATACTTTCAATACGATCCAATAACGATCGAAAAAAAGTTACGATCTGATAGAAACTTTTTAGACTGCATCAGGTGTCCAAATGCTTGTAGCATATCCGAGGAAACGCTTGATAAGATTTTATAGAAAGAAAGAAATATAGGAGGAGAAATCTTTTTACCAGAGAAAAGGACCGATTCCTTGATGATATATATATATATTTCTATTTCGGTCAATTATATTTTCTTTCCTAGCTTTCAGTATTGCCTGAGAGAAAAATATCTTTCCTCCGTTTCCGTAAATAAAATTCGTTAAAATAAGTTTAAACCCGGGACAATTATGCAATTAAAATAAAATGGGATAAAAGTTGTTCGATACACGGTTTCCAATCTACTCGTCTGACCATACACTGATTTCTTCCACTGCGTGACTTTTATTTACGCTTTATATACGTATGTTTACTTTGCTCGGCTAACTTGAGCTTTTTAATACGTAAATAAATAAGCTTGTATGCAATTTAGAGCATCGTATTATTTACGGTGAAAAATATAGAAAATCGAATATTTATTTTAAACACCGTTTTGTTCGTTCAAAGACATCGATAAAAGTTCTTTAAATAATAGTACACAATTTTGAACTATATACACATATATATAGTTCATCTTCATTTTTTCAATATCCATCTCTCCCCTCGTTTCGTTCGAATTTTTTATCCTCGCCAACTATGATTTTTACAAGTTATAATAGTTTTAACGACTGTACAAATAAATTTTCGAAACCGAAGATTCCCTCATAAATGCGTAACGATATTTCAAACTTTATAAATTTCGAAACAGAGTGAAAATGGCTCCATTAAGTGATGAATATTGTATTATTAAAAAAAAAAAAAAACGGGACAAAATGGCTTTTTCAACAATGGAATGATCGAGTATATAACTTTTATACCCGAGACACATTTTCCTTCCCGTCGATCGCGCCTACCTTGTTATCCATTCCGTTATCTATTCGGTTATGCGAGCCACTCTAACCGTGGAGAGTAAGAAGATAAGTGGGAATGCTTGTGGACGGTTATGCGAAACACACTCTGGCCGACGTCAGGGAGCAAATAACGTCGTTGCCGGGGATCCTGAGCCGACCTGTGAGCCATGAATAAAAGATAATTCATCTGTGTCGTGTGTCGCGTGAAAAAAAAAGAAAAAAAACACAGAAACAAAGAGGGTGTATTGGCTTATACGTAGGGGCTTCGAATCGGGATCGAATCGAGAGCACGAAGGGAGAAGAAGTGAAAGAAGTGAAGTGGAGGAGATCAGTGGCGGAAAGGGAGATACGAGGGAGAGGAGCGTTTCGAGGAATATCAATTTCGAAAAACTCTTCTCCTCGAGTGTGCGTATCTCCTTGTGTGTATAGCAATCAGAAAAACATCTACTCGAAGAAATTGAGAGCGAGAATACAAAGGGATCCGA